AATGAAACGAAAGCTTTTTTCAATGAAATTATAGAGGTACTATGTGGATTATATGTATTGAGTCAAAGTAAAAAACTAAGGATGAAACTTATTCCATCTGGTGTTATTTTGTCAACAACCAAATATTCTTCTTGAAAAAAAAACTTTTAATATGAAATTGCAGTTTACCCCAAATTACTAAAAAAAACATTTCTAAGTGGTACGTTCACAAAACAAGTAATTCCTACAGCTTTTCAATATAAAACTTATTTGTGTTGCTCTAGTAGGGTTTTGTAATGTCATAAGTGTAAACCATTTATCAACTCTTAAAAACATTATCAAAGTGCAGTTATGATACCGTATAATGACCATCAATTCTTATTGTGTTTTCTTAACTTAGTTAATGGTAAGGTGCACAATCCTCAAAAAAAAAGAGCACATTGTTTTACTCAAAAATTTGGATAAAACATCAAGTTATGTGATATTTTTTTAAATTTTTTTTATTTAATCTTGAGTAATATTGAGCCAAACTGTTTTTTTATTATGTATTTTAATGTAATTTTTTTAATATATAGGAGTTCTAGAGTTAATGCTGATTATACAATGTTTGTTACATACAAACAGTTCAATGTGGGAAGTTTATTTTTTGCTAATAAAACAAATTTTGCATATTTTTTATTTTTAAATAGAATTAATATTTAGATCACTTTAGCCATAATTTTTACCTAAAAGAATGGTAATTCTATACTCTAAGAGAAAGTCAATTAATAACAAATTTAAACTGATGAACAAATAAAAAGTTTAGCTTTTATCCTAATTCTCATTAGTTTCGATTGAAGCTTGAAAAAAGGTTTAAAAACTTCAGACCTGTATTATTAAGCCTTAAGAAAAGAAAAAAGAAGTAAAAAAAAAAATTTTAAACTTGGCGGCAAGATATGACAATGCATGCATTGGCTTTGAAAGAATAGATTCAACTAAACTAATTTATAAAAAAATTGTAAAACTTTTGTCAGGTCTAAACTTTTGTAAGTAACATATAAATTGCAAGTAATTCTTTGACGGGTTTTTTTAAAGAATTTATTTATTTGCCAAATAAATTTTTGTTTAATAAATAGTTTTATTAAAAAACTGCAAAAGAAAACTTAAAATATTTAAATTTTCAAAACAAATTTGCGTTTAAAATATTGTTTTACAATTGCTTTTACTTAAATTCATTCAAGTCACTTGCTAATTTGTCAAAGACATGGCCGCTGTTTTCCGTATATCGCCTCTCTGAGTATATAGATTCTCTACCCAAGTGCAAAGACAAGCTGTGTTCATATTAAAGAAAATGAAGACAAAAAAATATATGGTATTATCAAATATCATATATGGTTTTAATATTTGAGTAGCGCAACTTGTTTTTAAGTAAGTATAAATCTTTATCAATTTTAATATAAAAATGTGTAAGAATTTATTAAGTATATTTTTTGTCTTTATATACTTGAAGTTGTGGTACAAAATTGCAATGATTGGATGAAAATAGAAAAGTTGTGTTGTATAACACGTTTTTTCAATTTTCCAAATTGAGTTTTTAATTTTGAAACTGTTCATTGCAAAATGTGTCAATTCTGTTGTTTTTTTACTCAAAATGTTAAGAGAGGTTTTAATATGACACATTTTACAAATACAACAAGAATTGAGAAATGTCAAATACCCAATGCTCTATAATAGCGCGCTATGAGATTTGACAATTTAAATCACTGTCTATCTAAATTATTGCCAAAATATGAAAATTATTGCGTTAATTACTAGTAAGCTGTCTAGATTCTATGCAATTATTGCGTATAAATTGTATAAAAAAGGGCACAAAAAGTATATATACTTTACGTTTTTATTGAATCGTAAGTTTTTATGCAATTGTCAATTAGCGCTGTTATTGGTTGCTGTAGTAATGCAAACACATCGGGTTCTTATATATCCTTTCATCGATTACCCTCAGATCCAATAACTGCAGCTTTATGGGAAAAGGCAATTGATTTAAATAACTGTAACAAGAGTGTAAGAATATGTTCTTTACATTTTGATGGTTCATGTTTCAACATGTCAAAAGAACAAATTACAAAATGAATCATCCCAAAATCAGTGGAAGGGCAGATTTATGGAGGCTGTTTAAAATTGTTTGTTTTGAGGATGACAAACCACGGGGATTTCTAGAAAAATCCCCGTAGTTTTAAAAAAGAAATATAACATTCTATAATACTAGTACAAAAAAAATATGATTAAGAAATAACACCTATTTGAAAAAATCTAAATAATTATATAAAATATAAAATAATCTAAAAATCATCCTGTTGGTTAAAAACAAGTTGCGCTAATAAAATCTAAAAATGAAATATATTACTTCTTTTTTTAATTCTGTCAAATTTTTTTTAGGATTTAGTAAAACATTTCTACAACCAACAAACAAATATTTGATTTGTTGGTTGTAGAAGGAAAAAAAAATCATATCTTAGAGAAAAAAAATTAAGGTGAAGTCATATACAGAAACTATTATGAATTAAAAATGCATGAAAAAAAAAATGCATTGGGTGATTCATAAATAATGATACCATTTATTTTTTCAGTTTTTTTTTACTAAGATATTAACTTACTAATATTCAAAATAGATTCAAAAGATAGAGAAAATTTTTTTTATAAAATAATGTCTTTTTATTTTGAATAATAGTTTCCACCATTCTCACAAACATGATTTAATCGAATTGAAAAAGAATTACAACTTTCTAAGACAATTTCAAATCTAATTCTCTTTACTGCGCGTTTTAACTCACCGATTAACGTTTTTTTTTGAGCTTACTCGACTCCAATCAATAGCATGGTTAAATTCCTCACAGATAGAAAAGTCTAATGAGTTCAAATCTGGGCTATTAGAAGGCCAACGTTCTTTAGGAATAAAATCAGGAAAATTGTCCTGAAACCATTGTTGTGTCAATCGGTGTGTATGTTCTTGTGCACCATCCTGCTGAAATATCCAGTTTTCACCAAATACTTTATTGCCATATTTTTTGGCAACTGATAAAACTTTTTCAATATACCTTTCATGGTTAACGGTACCCTTTTCAAAAATAACTAATGGTGATACACCTTTTGAACAAACTCCTAACCAAACCATAACACGTTCAGGAAATTTTTTTTGCTGCTTGATTCCTCCAATGCTATCAGCTTCAACACGATTTGAAGCCCATATTCTGTCATTTTGAGAGTTATAAATACCATCAATATCAAAAAAAATTTCGTCAGAAAAAAGGATTTGCATCGTATCAGCTTTTAGATAATTGTTATGAATTCAATTTGCAAATTTAACTCTCTTTTCTTTGTGGTTATCGGATAATAGTGGTTGAACAACTTTTTTGTAGGATCAAAGCTAAAGATCATCTTTAAGAACACGATAAACACTTGGTTGTGAAATATCGAGTTCGTTTGCCAATTTTTCGTGTAGAAATTGGCTTTTTCTTCCGTTTCAGCCGGTTTTTTATTTTTTGGATAGTTGCTTTTGTTTGGGCTGTGCGAGGACGACCAGCAGGTTTTGAAAGTTTGATTGTACTATCTTTGGCAATCATTTTGCACCATCTTTTGATTGTTGGTAAGCTGAGAGTGCCACTCAAATCACGAAAAAATTTTAGTTGGACCGTCACCATTTTTATACTTAGAGATTACAACATTTTGCCAGTCTTGACTTTTCATTGTTACTGATTCACTTGCGTGCGCGTAGAAAAAAAATGAGAATGGTACGTTATTCAGCACAAAATTCTCTATCTTTTAAGACCATGTGCAGTTCATACTTTGTATTACAGAGGCTAAAATTAATCAATACAAAAAGGTATCATTATTTATGAATCACCCAATAAATTATCAAGTCTGCAGATTGCAGCTAACATTAAACTAACTCTGAGAACCAAAAGAAAATGGAGGCTAGCTTTGACTAAAACAAAAATTTTAGTTTTATTGGTATGCATTTATTATTTAGTTTTAATCAAATAATTTTAGTCCAAAACGTTTGTTTTTGGATTTTAAACACTTTCTTTAATATGAACACAACTTGTCTCAGCACTTAAGAATCCCTTTAAGAAATTAATTTTTATTAATCAGTGCACAATTTTGGCCTTTTATAATTCTTTCAATATTTTTTGTTCAGCTTTAGCTTACCTTAATAGTATTTCTGTTAACAATTTTGTCCAAAGGGAAATGTTTGTCTATTAATTTTAAAAATGCTTTTCCAATATTTGTTGAAACATTTTTGTTGTATGGAAGGGTAAACCAAATTATATATCTATTTTTCTTTTTTGTAATTTTTGTTTGAAATTTTAGCTAAAAATTTTTAAATTTGCATTTTTTAAGAGTTTTTTATACATGTTTAGAAGAGTTAAAAATATGTTTTTAGAAGAGTTTTGATTTAGTCTATTGTTAATTGATATAGGAATTTGTTTTAAGAATTGAGGGGATGATTTGAATTTATATTAATATAGGATATTTGAATTTATATTAATATAGGATATCATTAGGTTTATTATATTAATTTATATTAATATAGGAGGTTTGAATTTATATTAATATAGGATATCATTAGGTCTTTAAGGCCTTATAAAATTTTCCTAGAGGTTAAATGTAACATCAAGAAAAATCACAATTTTTAAATTGTGTTTAAATGTTTTAATTTTAAATGTTTATTTCAAATTTTAAATGTTTATTTCCATTTGGAAGCCAATGATTTTAAAAATTTTTATAAGATTTTTTATAAGATTTTGGAAAGTTGAGGCCCTTGAAAAATCTGGAAAATGCAACTAATTTTACACATATATGTATATTTTACAAAATACTATGCAGCTTTTATTTAGGTTTTAGATTAGGTTTTGGATTTGATGTATTATTTTATTATGTAGACAACAAAATTTAAAATTTTTTCAATTGTAAAGTTGTAATTGTAAAATTGTAAATCAATTGTAAAGTTTTGTTAATTACTTTGTAATAAAATAAATTGTTAGAGAATTGATGAGAGTATTAACCAATACCTTCGGGAAAAGATGCTTGATAAAATGTTGAAAATGCAAAAAGGTGATACATCTGTGTTTGAGGAATGCTTTTCATACTCTTGTCCAAAATTCATATCTCCGATACCTCCAAACTATGATTCCTCTCCTGCTAATTCACACCTAGTAAGTTTTTTTAGTTTTGTTTTGTTTACTCTCTATTGAAAAAACACAAATGTTAAAAAATATAACTCATTATAATCCACTAAAAATATATATACCACTAAAGTTCCATTTAATTTTTGAAATGAATGGAAAGTTTAACTACTTGAAATATATTAATAATATGATTATTAAGCACACAATATGATTAGTAAGTACACTAATCATATTGTGAGGTTGGTTTAGTTTCACAGAGGTATCAAATATCTGTTAATTATACATATTATCATAAACAAAATGGTAATTTTATGCATTATATAGTTTATCAATTGTTGTTCATAAAAGTTAATTAAATGGTTATTAGCATTATCAACATAAAATTAAAAGCTATAAAAATTTTAATTTCATGTTTTAAAATTTAATTTCATTCATTTTTGTTAATCTCTTTTGTTAAGCTCTATTTCGTTATAAATTTATTTTGATTTGTCATTTGAATTTAAAGTTGACCTACAACTTATTGTCATACAAGTTTTTCAAAATATCAAGTTTAAGTAGACATACTGGATTACTGCATCAAGTTCAAGCAGACAGATTCCAGCATTATGCTTTTGATCTAATTCACTATCTGAATTGCTTATCACACATAAAAAAAATGTTAATTATTTTGGCACAGTTCTAAAAAAAATTTAACAGTTTATAGATGTGCTGAATTTTACTTAGTTTTTTCTGAAGTCATTAAATCTTTCTGAAATTCTGAAATTGTCAATACTTTCTTTACAGTTTCTGACTTTAGTAGTTCTTTTTATCAGCATTATTGATGTCAATGCTTGTTTGTCAATGCTTGAAGTCAATGCTTGCTTGTAAAACCATTATCTACAAGAAATGTGTCTGGCAGATGTTTCATTATACCACATTTAAGATCAATGTCAGTAGTCAGCTCACTCATACATGTCTGATACACAACAAGCTGCATCGTTCGGGTATCACAGCAGTGTGACATTTCATTGTTTATTGATGCTTGTATAATAAATGTGTTTTTTTCTTTGTTGAGCATAGTTTTTCTCAAATCAAAACTTTGTATAGCCAATAGAAGTACAAATATTTTTTAGTGTTTCTTAAAGACTTAAATATTTTTTAAAGACTTTCTTTAAACATTTTAACATGAGTAAGAGTCAACTTAAAAATAATGTATTATTTTTTTTATTACTTGGATAAATTGTTAGAAGTTTTAACTTTTCTTGAACTGTTCCAGTAGGCAAGATTTAATTCTCCAAGAAAATCATGTAGGCTAGAAAGTTGAGCTGGTGTTGACCAATTAAATATTTCCATTTTTAACTTGAGAAGATAAAATGTACTCCTTTGGCATAAAGATATAAGGTGGTACACTTAATAAACTGGAAGAATTTATATGATAGAAATTAAATGATAAAGATGATGAGGGAAATCAAAAAGAGTTGTCAAGACTTGTAAATGTTTTAAATATTATTTATTTTTAAAACAACAATTTCAATTTTAGCTGCTTGTTTATGCAGATATTTATCATAAATTATTTGAATAAACTGGTCACTAGTTTTAAAAGTAATGTTACTTAAAGCATCGATAACTAAAGAACTTTCAGGATTGCTCAAATTACTATCAATTTGAATTCTATTGCCTTAAATGTATTTCATGGAATAATTGAAAGGAAAAATATTCTCTATTTGAAAATGTACAGGTTCTGGTTTCTTTTCCTTTTTTTTAGCAATATTACAAGAGGATTGGATTTTTTCTTCTTTGTCTGATAATCTGTTGTTGTGTAAAATCTGCTTGTAAATGAATGGTTGTAAAGTAGAGCCTTTTCTTTCAACAAAGTTTAAAGAACAAATATATATATCTTCATATTATCAACGTTAAAAAAATCTTTGCCATTTTTTACACATTTCATATTTTGTTGTTCTTTTTTTTATTACTGTCATCCATTTTTTGAAATTACAACATTTAGAAAACCTTAAAAAATGTTTGTGCAAAGTTCTTTTTCGCTATCATATATTATTCAATTATTGTTATGATTTTGGGTTTCGCAGGTTGCTCATTTTCCTACACTTTTGATTGGTTATAGTATTTTGAATGAGGTATCTATGACAGCGTTAGAGAGTATTTAAGTGGTATACTGCTTTCTGATTATCTTGGACTTGTTTATGCTAATAATATCTATTTGGTTTTATTTCTTAAAATAAATTTATTAATATTTTTATGATTCTTTTAGAATTTTAATTTATTTTGTTTTCATGTTTTCTTTTGGTGGTATGGTAAGTGTTTTATTTAGTTATTATTATTTATTTTTTTTTTTTTGGTTTAGTAGATCTACAATTTTATATCATATCATCAAAAAAATATTGGTGCTTTACAAATTTGGGGTTGGTTGGGTTTTGGCTATTTGTAGTGAATCCTTTTTTACTGCAGTATGGGATAATTGGCGATGGCGTTTGTCTGACGGGATAAACTAGTTATAAATGCTGGTTCTCATCGAAACGCCAGTAATAATAGACGCGACTCTGAGAAGATGTTTATTACTCAATCACTGCACAAATTATGTTTACACCTTAGTATTAATGTTTTTTTTCCATTCTGAGGCCTTCCGTTGTTGTTAGCATACTTTTTATTTTGTGATCGGTTTTTTGTCTGGTGATATAATTGCTGTATATCTTCGTTCATATTGGTGTTTATAAAACAATTTTTTTAATTTTTTAATTGTTATTGTTGTTGAGTACTGTTTTGGGTGTATATTCTGTCATATTTATTTTTAAATATTGTTCTATTAATCTTTATACTTGTTTTGACAACTGTCAAAATATGCTTTGTTTAATAAATAATTATTTTTTATTCTAATGTATTTCATTTCTTCCCTCAGGCGTTCACTGCTTGTGTGTGACCATTCAGCGAATTTTGTATGCCAAAGTTTTTAAATAATGACTATCGAAATTCCCAAAAAATGTTTGTTCGTTTCAGTCTTCATTTATCCTTCGTATTTCTTCACTATACTTTGTTTGTCTGCCCTGCAACAGAAAATGTTTTACTTTTTTTATTGTAAAATTTATTTATAACGTATGTTCTAAATACACATTTAATTTAAATCTAAAACTATATCTACTTTATAAATGAAAACATTAGGAAATCCATCTGTATAATTAGTACATATAAAAGATATATCACACTTTAAAGTTTTATGATGTAGTTTCTTTAAACTACATTTAATTAAATAGCTCATTTAAACAAAATTATGATATTTTTGGCCATTGTAATCAAGTAATGGTCCATCGTGTATCATATTAATATATATGATGCAAAGGAAGATTTGTTGTTTGAAATATAGCCATTGGTGGCAAATTTTTTATATGATGTAGTTGAACTTTTTTTTAGGATCCATTTAATTTGCAACTTAGAATGTTTATGGTTGAAGTGCAACAGCAAAGTATTATACCTGTAATTAGAAGGTATTAAAATGTATTAAAATGCTTGAATACGATTATATCTGTAATTAGAAAGTGTTACAATGGAAATAAAAGATGACTTTTTTTTTATTTAGCTATCTGAAATTGTACACTACTATGTCTTTATCTAAACTTGCATCTCTATCTGAATTGGTAATTGAAATTTTAAGTTCTAATAACTAAAAGTTTTAAAAATATTTTACACAATACAAAGTTTTATCCTTAAATAATCCCAATAATGTTTTAAATAGTGTTAAACTTAATATTTATGCGTAGGATGAAGGTACATTGCAAACAGCTCTACTCTGTTTTAAGGTATAATATATATATCTGTGTAAGGTATGTGTTCTGTTTTATGATATTAGTGTTTTATGTATACTGTGCATTACATCACACAACTAACTTAAACCTTATTTACTTAATGTAATTAAGTAAAATACAAAATTATAATTTTATAAAAACTATACAATAAACAAGAATTCAGAAATTTTATTTGAGTTGTAGCTAATAAATACCAGTCTACTATTGGACAAGAAATATATACTTTTTTTTTTTTAAAGTTTTTTAAGTGAGAAATGGCTTTAATTAACGAACCAAAATGTTCCAAACACAGCTTCGTGTCTTCAAAACATTTTCATTTGATGTTTTAAATGTTCTGATTCCATTCTGTTTTTGAAACGTTCCAAATACAGCCTCGTATCTTAAAAACATTTTGATTCAATGTTTTAAAATGTTCTGGTTCCATTATATTTTCGAAATGTTTCGATTCAAAGTTTTTAAAAGATACTAATTCATGGCTGTCTTTGGAACATTCCGAAAATGCTTCCTATTAATAAAAACAGAAGGAAATTAATCTTTTAACGAAAATAAAGTTGTTTTTACAAAATTTAAGGGTATCATTGGGAATAAAATAATGGTATATAAAATTTAAGGGTATCATTGGGGATATAATAATGGTATATAAAATGCAATCAAAGTAATTTAAATCTAAATATTTTTAAAATTTTATTTTTCTACAGCATAAACAGCGTACTTTAGTATGGACGAAAGGAAATGATGCTTTAAATGGAGAATTCCAATCTTCGCCAGAAACAGATTTTTTCATTGGAAATGTGAGTCCGTTACAAAGTTTTTTTTTTTATTTAATATAAATTTTTAAAATACAAAATATTTAAGATGATTTATTTTGGATTATTATTTACTTATCATTAATATTGTAAATTTTTTTATTCAAGGATATGATTCATATAGCAGACACTAAAGTTGCTCGACGATACGGCGATTTTTTTATTCGACAAATTTTAAAGATCGATGAGGTAAACTTTTATTTTAATTAAATTTTTAATAAGTATACAAATGCGTTTATTAATATACCATTTAGTTTTGAATATTTATATTTTTTATTTTTTATTTAGTTCACTAAAAGTATGTGGAAAAGTCAGCAACATGTATGAATTGAATTTCAAAAATGAACATCAAATGTAAAAAATAAAATTCTCTAAATATTTAGTTTATTTTTATTTGCAGGAAATTATTACAAGTTATCTTAAGTATTCTTGTGATTAAGTTTCAAAAGTACTAGTTTATAAAATATATACTTTAGAAAGTTCCTTTCTTACTAAAACGTTATTTAAAATATGAGTGACAGCCATTTTACCAGACTTGCAAACTCACAGTGGGCCAGAATTCACTTTTACTGGACAAAACTAACGACTTGTCATACAAAAAGATTTAAGAGTCATTTTTGTACTGTTTACTAATTTGAGGATTGCGGTTTCAATGGTGACATTAGTTTTAATTTTGGGTTGCTATGAATACCTAAATTGCTTAGTAACCACATTTTATTAACCTTAACAAATATAAACTGGGAGAAGTAATAACTTTATTAGATTACTTCCATAATTACCACATTAAATTTTTTTTATAGTGTATGTAGTCCTACAGATTTTTTGTTTAGTTTATAGTGACACCTGAAATGCCTGGCAACTGTTCATAGTTACTAGCTTAAGTAACTTTTCCTAAAGCATCAATATTATAACTAGACTAATATTAAAGTGGCTGTCTAAATAAAAATTATTTTATGCATTTAAAAAGTTTTTTAAACACATTCCCAATTACTAATTTTAAGTATTTTTTTATGCAGTTCCAGGGCTTTATTTTATATTTCATGAAACTACTACATAATCCGTATAAAATAGAACCTAAACCTTAAACCTTTTTGTATATATAATATAAAAATTTTGATTTGAATTATTTTTCGAATCAAAACTCATATACAGTAAACTCCCGGTTGTTCGAACTGATGCTTATTCGAGTTTCCCGCTTATTTGAAGCAATTATCATTCCCCATTTTAATTCAACAAAAATTCTTCAAAAGCGTCTGCCGATTTACTCTTCTATTCAAAACTTTAATCCCTTTTTTATCGAAAATAAATTAAGGAATCATTAATAATTATTTTACAATTATTATAATTTCCGCTCAACACTTTTACGTAAACAGTATTTAAATTTAAAATATTTTTTTTTTTTTTAAAAAAAGTGAAAAATATTTGTTTACAAGTCTAATCTGTCATTTGTAAAAAGGGCAAAAAGCGGCTTCACTTTTCGGATCGAAGTTAGACATCTACGCAGTGGTCATTTTTGGGGTCAAAATCTGCAGAAAATCCCAAAAGTGTCATGAAAAGATTTTTTAAATCTATGGAATTCATCAAAAAATAGGATAGTTGGAGAGCCATAATATGAGGTTTAAGAGGAATTGAAGTAAAAATAGGTTGGCTATGAGTAGAACAACAGGAGGAAAAAAGTAGTGAAAAATTTACTGAAAAATGACTATTTTTAAAGTCTTAGAAAATAATGGGTGAAAATTTTCAAATTTTTGTTTAATAATTTTAGTAATACATATAAAAAAATATTAGAAAAGTAAAAAAAAAAAATTTAAAAACTATATTGCTATGTATAGTAATGATTTTTTCAAACATCAGAAAAAAAGTGTACTACATGTCAAAAACAGTGCTGCAACTTTTTCCCAACAAATTGGGACCAAATCAGGTGAAAAGAGGAAATAAAGACACCTTTAAAATGACACATGAAATTGTTGCGGGGAGTTGCGGGAGCTTATTTTATTGACTTTTAAAGTTCGCGCAAGCATGTGTGCGCGTGCGATCGTAATTGTCGGCGAGCGTAAAAATTCGAAATAATAAGCATCTTGCACTTTGGCTTGCGGAGTTTTGATACAATTTGCAACATTGGATATCGCCAAGATGTCAAAAAGTTCCATCTTCATATGAGCCCTGATGAAAAAAGACTGGTTGCAAATCGGGAGACACGAGTCAAGCAAGAATTTCGGGAGCAGCTGGGTCTAATTGTTGACCAGAGGCGGGATGGAGGTGCTGGCACTACAACAACAGGAAATGTTGCTCGCAAAGCTTTTCAAAACCCAGGTTGCTACACTTGCAAGTTTTGGTACTTTCACCAAACTTTTTGGGAAGCATTCAGAAATAATTTAGTTTTTAGATATTATGTCTTGTTAAGTTGCATGAGCATCACATCATAGCTTTGCTGTCAATTTGGAGAAATTCAAATCTTGATATATGTATATTCCTACCTATTTTCTTTACTTTTTTAGAAATTGTTGCAAGAATCTGTGACGTCCCTGTCAAACTGGTTGAAAATCTTGGAACACTCTGGTCTGCCCTTGCATCTGGATATGCCATTGATCCAGACAAGTTTGGAGTTCTGTGTGAAGAGACTGAGAAGATTTATTTTGACCATGTAAAATGGTACTGGTTGTCCCCAACAATTCACAAGGTTCTGAAACATGGAAAACAAATCATTGAAGCTTGTGTTCTTCCGATTGGAATGACCAATGAGGAACCAGGAGAGGCTAACAACAAATTTCTTCGAAAAATCCGTCTTTATCATGCTCGAAAATCATCCTGGCTCAATGGCATGTCTGACCTTTTCTTGAGACTGATGGACATCAGTGATCCAAAGATACAGGTAATTTTGGAATTAAGCATATCCAAAATTTTTCCAATTTCAATAATTTTTCATGCTTATTTAATTTAAATGATTTCTGAAACAGGACCTTTTTTCATTTGAATTTCCCAATTTAGCTTTGATAGCAATATTTTCTTTCATCCATTAAATGTTATATATAATTTTTAGGCTTATGTCCACTGCAAGAAAAAGAAGCACAACTCAGAGATCTTGCCTGAACCCATCAAGAAACTCTTGAAGATGCCGGAACTTCAAATTTCTAGAGATGCCTCTGATTTAGAAGAAGAATAAAGAAGTCAAACAAAGCAACCAAAGCCTCTCATAAAAATTAAAAAAATTCTCATACATTCCCAATTTTGTTATTTATCTAATGTTATTAGTTTCAACCAGATCAAACAAAATTGATATGCTTAACTCTATGTAAAAAAATATTTTCTTTGATGTAAGCACTTATGTTGTGCCTAATATAACCAACTAGAACCTCATTTGTGTTAATTTTTTTTAGCAATACATTGTCATACATGATGGGCAGGTTGGTAATCTCCCTGTGGGTATTCCTCATGCTTAAGTAAAAATGTTTTCTGCCATTATCATGTTTGATATGATATTTGTGTGAAATTTCTTCTATTTAATAAATCCATTTTGATCTTTAAGGTAATGAGACACATAATTCATTTTTGCAACCTAGCATTAATTGCAAAGTGTCAAATCTAACTTAAAAAAGTGAATATTTTATTTTTTAAAGCAATTTTTTGGGTTATTTATAATTTTTACTTCAAATATGTTCATACCGGCACTTTTTGAACACATAAAAAATGTTTTAGCTTTTCTGCAGGTTTTGACCCCCAAAATGACCACTGTGATCTAGTTATATAATATATCATTGATAAACACATATAGGTTATTCTAAAGTTTCATAGTAACGCCCTTAGTTACCTTGAATTATTTCGTTAGCCCAATCTCAAACCCTAAAGAGTTTTTGTTTCTCATTTTTGTCAACATTGCTGTATCTAAAAGCTATTCTTGGAATATACCTATATATATATATATATATATATATATATATATATATATATATATATATATATATATATATATATATATATATATATATATATATATATATATATATCGTAAAAAAAAAAAAAAAAATGGAATGGCATAGTTGCGAACCGATACCCTGATGTTGATGGTGTCAAGAATATAAAATATCAATATAATATGAATAAACAAAATCCTTGAAAAAAAACACAAAATGGTTTTTGGTTGCCATAGTAACCACAAAAAACACATAAAAATGGGCAAAAAATGCATTCACACCGGCCGTAAAAACTAAATAACCGTGCAAGATCTCTTAAAAAGCTTCTCTTAAAAAGATCTCTTTCACCAAATGCTTCTCAAAAGGTCGAAGGGTGTTTTAAAAGCGGCATTTTCCTGTAACTAAAAATCTGAGCGATACGTGCACATTTAAAAATGGCAAAAATATTTTTTATTCAAAATATTAAAAATAAAAAAATCTAAACCTCAATTTAAACTGTTTCTATTAAACCACAGTTCATAATCATAGAAACAACTCCAGAAAATTTCATCAAAATTGGTAAAACGGTTCTTGAGATAAAACGGCCGGCGTATGAAAAAAGACTTTTTTGAGAAAACGCGAAAAGAAAAAAAATTAGCACATTAAACTTTGAAACTTTAAGTAAAACACATATTATAGTAAAAATATCTAATAAAAAGTATCTATACTTGTATAAACCTCCTGCTTTATACAACTTCTCTTCTTTTTCTTTTTCATTGTCATTTTTATTATGTTTTTTGCCACAAATAATTTTTTTGTTGCAACTTGTTTTTATCAATATTCCTGTATTTGGAACGTGATAGTCGCTTTTAGTTTAAATTTTTACAACCTTTAAGAGTATATACTCCTGGAATTATTTCCAAAAATTCATAAACTAAAATCGAGGCTTTTCGACCAATGTTAAAATCAGCCACTGCATCATAAACTCCAAATTCTAATTGATTGAATTATATAAATTTCATTTGAGGTAAACGTTCCCAGGTAGTGCCATTAAAACTTTCATTAGTATTTTGTGTCTTACCATGTAAGCACTTTTCCAAATGTTGGTCAGCACTGAGTTCTGCAAAGATTGGTATGATTTTTTAAACAATAGCTATTGGTAAACCTGGTCCAGGTTTATAAGTATCTTTTAAGTTGTAAAATTGGCTTTATCTGAATTATATTTGCACCAATTATCAGCTCCTACTGGGCAATGTGGAAAGTGATGCCAGAGTACCAGGTTTCATAGATGCTAAATTAGCTAAATTAATTAAATCTAATTGCAATACAAAAATAACTTTGCAACCAATCAATTATTGCATCTGTTAATTTACCTCTACCACCAAGGTTTTTAGTTTTTTTTTCAACTTTTTTAATTTTGTACCTATACGTTTTCATCACATGAAACACCAGTATCAACAATATCAGTATTCAAATTGTGTCTGATTT